CAGATTGTTCTAGACCCCAGCTCTGACTCTCCAGCACTTATCCCTTGCCTGACTCTTTGTTTTTGACCTAGGATTACCGTTTCTTGACCATCGTGTTTTGTCTATGCCCTCCCAGATTCTGATCGCCTGCTGTGTACTGACCTTCTGATCTTGTCCCCCTTGACCTCGAGTTTGGATCCCCTGGCTATACCTGTTTACCGGCGCCGACCCTAGACTGTCTTATCGTCCTGAGTTATATCCTGCATTGTGACACCTGTGTCACAATGCAAATTTGTAAAAAGCAATAAACAACAGCCCTGCAGACAAACTTTTTGCATATTAAACAGCTCCTCTGTATTTATGTAGTGTTTATCCTGGGTTCAGTGCTTCATACATGACATTTATATAACAGTGTGCATCTGAATCACTACCAAAAGAAAGAATGCAAACCATTTTAAAAGCTACTTTTGTGTTTCTTACCAACTGCAACAAATTCAGACAGAGCAATTCACATCAATGAATAATGGAGTTGGAGCCTTTCGGCTTATGTACATTTGAGTTTGAGATTGTATGTACTGTAAGTGACTGACACAGTGATACTTGTAAATGAATGTTATCTTTATTATCCAAACACATGCTGGCAGTTTGATATGTATCACTGGAAAAAAGGCACATCATAAAGTTTTTTCAAACACAGCTGTTGTCATGCAGACAACAGCTGGATAATACTTGTGCCTGTGGCTCAGGACTGGCAGTTACTTCATCAAGGTTAGTAACTTAAAAGTGATTTGACAGTTTTATCATTACTGCAGAAATGTACTTTATATTACACTATTATATTACTCTGTTTCCAATTTAAAGAGATTGAGTCCCACCACCAGTATGAAATAGTATGATATTCAGAAAGGCACAAAGCAGGTTAATAAATATTTTGTATATTACATGACAATAACAAAATAATATTCGCTTAATTTGTACAGAGCTGATAGAAAATGATGGGAAATACATACAATAACCTTATCACACATCATATGAATGCTCACAGCTCTAGGAGAAACATAACTGGGCTACATTCACTGTAAACAAAACAAATATAATCTTTAAGTGCATTATTTACAAAATATTTTCACATCAGATTATTTACACCCTACAACAAGCAACATTGTATCATTAATATGTGTGTGTCTTATGTGCAAATTTACATAAGATGTTTTACATCATCAGCCAGACCCATACAGTATTTGCAGTAAATATTTTAATAATGTTGACTTTTTATTGTTAAAAAAAAAATTAGATCTGTGTCACATATGTTTTTCAAAAAGATAGACATCAGTGAAAATAAGACCAAAGACAACTTCTAAAAGAATAGCTCAATATTTTAGGAAGTATACTAAATATGTAGTTGCAGTTAGCTTAACTTTAACAGCAGCAACATATAACTGTACTTACCATACAGTTATGGCATAGCTTATCTTAGCATAAAGACTTGAGGTGGAGGAATTAACTAGCCTGTTTTATTTCATCCAGAAGTATAAAAAAATCCCTCAATCAGGATCTCTAAAGCTCCCTAATTATCCGGTTAACTCATTGTAAGGCCTAATCCACTGAATGGGGTTGAACTGGACTGTTTCTTATCTGGGAGCGGTGACTTTCACTGGTTTCCAAAAATTTACCCTTCAGTTACTTGCTCACTTTAGAGTTGCTGTGAGGCACATTTGATGCTTTTGGACAAACCCTGCTGACTGGGTGTTTTCCCTCTCTTCTTAGTATTTATGCTAAGCTACAGTAAGCTAACCAGCGGCTAGCTGTAGCTTCATGTTACCAATAAGAATGGTATCAATCTTCTCATGAAATTCTTGGCAAGCAAGCAAATAGGTGTATTTCTCAAAATGTCAAACAATTACTTTAAGATTCCTCTATATGTAAATTTGCTGTCATTTCCATAAGCTTCATGAAGGGTGTATAAACTTGAGGTGCTCTTGATCTTGCTTGAAGAGAGGATAGGGCTGAACCGGACCCTTCTGGACTTGAGTGTGTGTCTGTGTTTGTTTCTGCGTCCACCTCATCTCTCCCGGATGTACTCACAGGAGGACCAGACTCAGACGAACTGGGATAGGAGAACGTCCCACTCGGCGCTGTGGGGCTAGACGGCAGGGAGCGGCTGTACTCATTAGGAGTGTACCTCAGTAAACTGGACTCCAGCCTGCTGGGCGGAAGTTTGTTAGTCCTGAATGTCCTCAACTGGGTAACTGTTGACAGGTAGAAGGATGGAGGTTGAATGGAAGATGACTGTGATGAAGTTTGTATGGGAGATGGAGATTGTGATGGGGATGAGGGCTCTATGACTAGTGGGTGTGGTGTGGGTGGTAGAGGTTGAGTGGGTGATGGAGGTTGAGCAGGGGATGGAGGGAGGTTGAGTGGGTGGAGGTTGAGCAGGGGATGGAGGTTGAGTGGGTGATGGAGGTTGAGCAGGGGATGGAGGTTGAGCAGGGGATGGAGGTTGAGTGGGTGGTGCTTCTTGTACGGGATGGAGATGACCTAGTTTAGACTGAGCAGGCGTTTCAACATCATTCCTCCATGCTTCCCTTCTGCAGATTCACAAACATCAGAGTGAGAAGCCATCTCCAAATGAAGCATCAAATATGGATGCTACTAAAAATGTTTGCTCCTTACCTGGGGAGCAGCCCAGAGCCTACTCCTATCTCCCTGGTATCCAAAACTATTTGTGGTTTATTCTGTGTGGACATAAAATACTTCAGCTTGTCTTCTAACTCATTATTCTGGGAAAAGGGAAACAGGAAACAACACTGTCAGGTCAGATCCATGCAAAGGACTGTTGTCACTTTATACGTAAAAGTGATTTGATAGATGCAGTAACAAAACCAAACCACACAGATACTGCTGAAAGTTTAGGGTAATGCAGCACTTAGCAACCCAGGCAGTCACCACACCACACCACACCACACCTTGGAAGGGCACCACAAAGCATCTCTCTTACCTCACACTCCACTACTGCAATTCTGTCCAGAAGCTCTGAGATGAACATGTCCTTCTGAGCAACTTGAGCTCGCAGTGATTCAACCTTCACAAATTCAAAAGACAATGATCAAGAGAAATTAGTGATTCTGTGTTTTCAACTTGTCCCTGCTCAGTCTAACACAGGGATCTTACTGTACATGGACTGCTGGCAGTAAAAGCTTCATTTAACCCAAACCTGTATAGAAATTTGCATGGCTGCCTGTAGAAAAACATTTTTGCATGTTTGACTTTTATCTTTTGCTAACAGTTCATTTACTGATTAGAAATGTGCTATTTGAACATCATCTCTGTTTTCTTCATATACAGTATATAACAACATTGCACAGTTGATTCCAGGAATCTTCTTGGAAATAATTCAGAAATTCGTGAAATAAAGAATCTTAAGCCCTAGGCCAGCACCATGCCCCACCCTTTACTGACTCTGGATCAGACTGTGTGGACTGAGTTTATCGAAACTATGAATGATAAACATACTTCTACTACTCCAGCTATAGTATGTACAGTTGTAAGAAAAAGTAATGGAACTGTTTGTAATTTCCTGGTTTTCTGCATAAATTGGTCATTAGATGTGATCTGATCTTCATCAAAGTCACAAATATCAGGAAAGACAATATTTCTAAGCTGATGAAACAAAAAAAGTCATGATCTTTCACATCTTTATTGAACACACCTACTAAACATACAAAGTGATGGTGGGAAAACTAAAAGCAACGCAAGGCTTCTGATGCCACTAAACTCCAGGATGCATCTTGCATTAGCAAACCTGGATTCCAATCAATGAAACAAGAATGGAGTTGTGGTTTAGAACTATTAGAACCTTGACTTATAATAACAATAACAAAAACAGTGTCAGTGTGCTATTCGCAAGCAGCATCAGCTGATGTGAGCCATGCCTCACAAAAAAGAGATCTCAGAAGACCTATGATTGATCTGCATGGAGCTAGAAAGGGTTATAGTCATCTCAAAGACTTTAGACATTCATCAGTCCACAGTTAGACGTATTGTCTATAAATGGAGACAGTTTGGTACTATGGTTACTCTCCATAGAAGTGGCAGCCCAGCTAAGATCACTTCAAAGGCACAAGGCAGAATGCTCAATGAGCTAACAAAGGGTAACAACTAAAGTTGTTGGAGTTCTTTAACATCTCTGTTCATAAGTCACGGAGGAAGCCATAGCTCTCCAAAAACAACACTGCAGCATGCCTGAAGTTTGTCAAAGACCACCTTGACAGTCCACGGCACTACTGGGAAAATATCCTGTGGACAGATTAAATGAAGGTAGAATTGCTTGGGAAGAACACACAGTGCTACATACTGCGTAAAAAGAGAATCGTGCACCAACATGAAAACATCATTCCAACAATAAAGTACAGCGGCAGGAGCATCATGATTTGGGGGTGTTTTGCTGCCTCTGGACCTGGACTGCTTGCCACTGTGGAGGGGAAAATAAATTCCCAAGTTTATCACGGTATCCTACAGGATAATGTCAGGATGGCTGTCTGCAAGCTGAAGCTCAGAACAAACTGGGTGATGCAGCAGGACAATGACCCTAAATATCAAAGTAAATCTACTACAGAATGGCTT